ATGAATTACTTTTTTGAAACAATAGTTGAAATTACTGTTTGTTATGTTTTAGCTTACTTCAAGGGCATCCAAGATGTGGGTGTCTTTGTTTCCGCAGTAGTTTCAATTTTGATATTTTTTGGTCAAACCGTTCTTGTCTATCAGTCATATAATGGAGGTCTATGGTCACCACCTCAAAGAGCATGCACAGAGAAGTGTGAATACTATTCGTTTTCTCACACAAACCGCTCGTTTTGTGTTTGGGCCATCAATGTGTACTTATATTTACAAGTCATTAAATCATGTTTAATTTGTACTTCTCTGTGCATTCTCTTTGAGGTGGTGACCATAGACCTCCATAATGTGACTGATAGACACAAACGGTTTGACCTCAATATATCAAAATTGAAACTACTGCGGAAACAAAGACACCTACATCTCGGATGCCCTCGAGGTAAGCTAAAACATACCAAAAATTAATTTCAAACGGAACTATCCCTTTAAAGAAACATTACTATGTCCCGACACAAGGAAAAATACATTTACTTCTGAATGACATTTTGTCAACACCATGAGATATTTGTAAAATAATAATAATAATAAGGAAATATTTAAGTCTATCGTTATCTCGAAAATCCTTTCAACATTTCACCTTTTCAACAACATGCTGTAGCTACTTCATACAATAGATGTGTGATATTCTGTAGTAACAATTCAATATAGGGCTGAAAATCAGACTCAGAGCTTCTTGTGGTCTCAATTCATTCGTTCACTGAAGTGAATAGATTTCTAAATATTTGACATTATTTTTGTATCGGAGACCGCAAAAAAAGCACAAAAAACACCTATTATGTGAGAAAATGGAAGAAGCAGGAGGTTGCACCCAAAGATAAGTGAATACCTCTGAACAAGTTGAACTGATTCAAAATAATTCCTTACGCACATAATCTGTTATTTTGTCAGGCTGTTTTGTTGCTGTACTCAAGAATCTGTGTCAAGTCAATGTGACTTGGGCTTTTGAAAGTGTTTGTATTTACTGAAATCTCACAAAAGACAAATGTAAGGTTTTAGGCATCAGTAACTACAGTACAAAAGCACCGCTGGCGACACTGAACATTCTGCTCAGAGCTTTGGAAACGTAAAAATGAGGGGTTTTATGCTGCCGTTAAGCTGTAAAGCTCGAACAGAGGGACGAGAGGAAGCAACAACTCCAGACTGTCTGTCACAACTGTCATAAATCAGATTCCCAGCATGCATTCACACACAGACAAAAAGAAGAAAACATTCATACGCTTGCTTCTAATATAAAGTAAATTTCCAAAGGCACATAACAGTTCTCAACAAAATTTCCACTGTCTCAGAAGATAAAATCTTCAAACCAAAGAACTGCTTGGGTTGCAAATACATCAATCCAGACACTTTCTGATATTGAATTAGAAGGAGAGACAGATTGTGAGAGGGAGGAAGAAAAAACGAATAGAACGAGAAAAAAACAACGCTTCAGTATAACGTGTCTAACATTAAGCATGAGCCTAATCACCGTTTTTTTTTTTGCTTTATAAAATTAAATTAGTATCAAATTAATGACTCGTGTTAAAGAAATGATCCGTAGGCCTCTGAACGTGTGGCATGAATGACAGCGCAATAATTTGATCGCAGTGCGTCAAAGTCATTCTGTATATCTATGGGAGACGCTTCTTCACCACCAAAACAAGCAACTCGGACTCTCTCTCTTTCTGTCCTGTCAGCCATGACAGCGCGTGCAGCCACGCTAAATATAAATGTATAATTACAGCGGACTCAAATGCTAATTAAAACTTTGCCTAATAATAATTTTCAATAATTACACATCCCAAATGGATTCTGGGAGAGACCAACGTCTAGGCAATTATGGCGGTGTACTTTCTGCCTCTGAGATAGGCTAAATTAGCCATCCACACACAAGAACAACGAAAACTCATCGCAAACCACAGACAAACGTTGAACAATATGGGGATGTTATTTTCATATGATATGGGAAATTATTTTCCCATAAAAAAGGAGACAGGGACATGGAAACAGGAGAATTATCATTGTCATCATTATCATCATTTTAGATCAGATTCCAATTGGATATAAAGATAATCGGATTTGGACAGACAGTTTGAATTTAGCCATAGTCAACTACTTTACATCAACATTTTAGCCATAGTCAATGCTTCATTTACTCATGTGACTGATGCTGTGCCTCTCTCAACCACAAACATTTTCTTTCATCAGTTTATGCACTCTTCTCTTTAACTTTTGGCAGTCTTTAGAACTCAATTTTTTTTTCCCGGTGCGACCGATTAATACAACCATTTTTCAGCAGCCAAATTTGCGAGTCCGTTCAGTTCAGTGGCATTGTTTACATTCAGTTTCTCCAAAATGGCCGATTTCCAGATTGATGACGTGTAGTGAAAATCCTCTATAGCAAGCCTCTCCGAAAATCGCCTACCCGACCCTTAAGGGGCCGCACACCGGGCGCGCACCACGTCTAGAACAATTCACAGGTATCGCACACCGGACGCGCACATTCTATTCGCACGAGCTCAGTTTTGAATCAACTCCTGGTAGAAGTCAAGAGCTGCAAGATGAGTTTAAACTGGATGTATTATATATTTTTTATGTTAAGTGAATAAAATAGCTGATTTTTGAACGTTATTAACCAAGTAAAAGTGTCTATCACCTTGTTAAGTCTGTTATTTTGTTGTAACGTTATCCGTTGTCTTGGCAACTATGTTAGTTACAATAGTATTTATTTAGCTAGCGTTTAGCCAACCTGAGTTTAAATATATATATGGAGCACCCCGATGATATATATATATATATATATATATATATATACAGTATATATATACATATGCTTTCCAAATATGAGTATTCAAGCTGTTAGGAATTAGGAAAATTAGGAATGTTAAATAGGCTTAAATGTATATTGCAGCACAGGGTGAAGTCAGTATGTACATTAACGACGATTTGAGACAAATAAATGCAAATTTAATATAAAACTATGCAAATGACGCACTGTGGCGCGGCAGGGTTTTGAACACGGTCCTGAGCCGTAGCTGGGCGCCGAATGGCGCTGCCGGTGTGTGTACACACATAGAGAATAATCTGTTCGAAATTTGAAGACATGGCGCTGCGCAACGCGGCGCTGCGCGCCCGGTGTGCGACCCCCTTTAATCTAGCCTACATTGGTGGAGTTTCACTTTTGTGCTTGCGAGGCACCTACCGGCAGACATGGGGAGGATGGGATTATTATTCAAAGCTGCAGTCCGTATATTTGGTTCCATTTTTTTCCAAAATACAAATTTGAGAAAATATATAACCAGCCAGTGTCGAAGTACAACTCACGTAAAGTTGATAATTCCATTATTGCTGCATTAGGGATTCCAATAATTTCAGTTGTATATTTGCACTTGGCTCTAAAATCTTACGGTGAATGTGTCGTCATGTATGTTGATTTCCTCGACAATTGAACATGTAGTGATTTCAGTACTGCTTGGTTGTTACATTGACCTTGAGTTGACAATTTATTGCTCAGCAGCCAATGGTGTGCATTTGGGATGGAAAAGGGGTTGTGGTTGTGAAACCTGCTTAAAAACATGTACGTTTTGTAATGTCATTTGATGCCACTAGTGGTCTCATATGACTCCCTTTAGCAAATGCCATTACATACACTAATATCTCTTTCTCTCATTCTCATTCCTCTTCTGCACAGAGCTCTAATTAATCCCGAGCAGATAATGTGGTGTGCGGCCTTTGTAATTATCACACAGAACTCTTCATTCTCCAATAGCCTGAATTTCATCTCAAATATAAAAATTGGACCATAATCACAGATGCATATCACCTCTTCATCTTAATTGATAATTACTGCTGTGTTAATTTGCAGCCATCTATTATCACACATGCAGGTTTTTATCAGGGGGCTGGGAGATAAAATTGAATCATACTGGAGGACTATTCGTCTAGTTCAGTGATTCACTTCAGATATGCAGCAAGAGGTAAGTTTCAAAGTTTTAAAATGACAACTATGGTGACTAAATGTTTCAAATGCATATTTATTGAAAATGTGTTATATAAACGACAACATTTTATAGTATTAATGTATAAAGTGATACTAGGTGCACAGATCATTCTGTTTTGTAAAAAGTTACATAGACGGTTCACATGATTATCGCATTCAATAATACTTATTTATTATGTTGCCTGAACTCTGAATGCGGAGAGAGTTTTTTTGTACCGAAATACATGTGAAATCATTAAACATGAAATACTATCAAAAAAAGTAAAGAATCTTAAAACAAACCCCATTTTTGTAGGATAAAAAGGCAGGCATAGGTGTGGATTCAGGTGGGAACGCTGAAAGCCCAGGAAGACGTGTAGTTCTCATCCTTCCTCTGTGTCAGAGGTTCTTTTGACTCTCCTTTCCTTTTCCTGAAAAACAACCTCTTTTTCTTCATCTTCCTCTGTTTATATGACTTCACATTCAGGACAATTATCATGAGTGATACGATGTACTGTGGTATTTTTCACATAATATTCTCCATTTACTAAAATACTATGAAATATTATGAAATAGTTGTACTTTCTGTTTTGCATGATCAAATTTGTGTAAAAAAGTTAATATTCTACGCTGCAGTTAATAGTGACACATTGTTTTGCAACTCATACAGTGGCTTAATATCCTTCCAATAGAAGACTAAATTCAAATAGAGTATATGGAGTGCTCTAAAATAACGCCCTTTCATCCTTAACCGTGCAAGCAGACAAACATTAGAATACATATACCACAGTTTCAAATTAACATTGTAAAGATTGTACAATAATGTGCCAATAAAAAAATGGTGCTGGAATGTATTAATAACTGGATCTAGCTGATCATTTAAAGGCCAACATTTAACCTACAAACACAAAAACATATGGAGAGACCGTCTGAGGGGGACTGAGCTACATTTGAATCAATGCTAATATGTAGCTTTGGCTATTGTTATTGTTAGTAAAAAACACGTAAACACATTTGTAGGATAAATGTGCCTGTCCAAAATGGTGTGCACACTGGTGCTTGCTCGAGAAACATCGTACCCAAGGTAAAAAACAAAGGGTGAGGTTAAACAGCTGCCGTCATTGGACTCTTCTGTCTCGGGTCTGAGTGTCGTGCCTCTCCGTACGTATAGCGCTCTGGGCTGCTGTTGCGGTAGCCCCTGCGGTTCATGGTCTCGAAGCGAGGGCCTCGTAGGGGTATGGTGGGAGAAGGGGGCACATCCTGCCGGAGGGGGCCTCTCTGCTGCGGAGGAGGGTGATAGAACCCTGAGTCGTTCTGCCGAGGGTCCACCGGGTGAGGGTAGTTATCCCTGGGAATGTAGCTGGGGTGGTAGCCTGACTGTTGGTTTGGGTAGTGCGAGGGCTCCCTGTGTCCGGCCCACGGCTGCATTGGATACTCAATAGGTTCGACTGGTGCTCTTCTGCAAGACAGGAAAGTTAAAGAAAATAAAGTTAGGATCTTGAAGAAGATGGTCAGTGTAAGCATGACTTTCCCATGATCAAACATGATTTTAACACACAATGAACACTGTTTGCATTAAGCAAGTGAGTAATCGAGAAGGTACCTAGGAAGGGTGCTTCGAATTAGTCACTTGAGTTTCTCTTTTAGTTAGAATGCTACCTTAAATAGTAGCTACATATCAGTGGCGAGGCCAGGAATCTTTAAATGAGTGGACATAGGTCAAATAGGGTGGACCTTAAAGCCTACTCTTTACATCATTTTAAAATACATGGGGATACAAATAGTTTGACAATTAAGATTAGATAAACGTGATTTATTGTAAGCCAAAATTTTCACGAAAACGACACAATGAAGGGAAATAATCATAGGTAGAGCATGTGTTGAGCTGAGTCTTCCCCTGGACTAGCATGGAGTTGCTCAATCAAAACACTACTTACTACTGCTTCTGATCATTTTTAGAGGAAAAGCTGATCATAACTAATGGTCTAGAACATGTTTTCCCCCTAATAGTAGCATATTGGTAGCCTGGCAAGCCAGACCTATCAAGATGTTAGGTCTGGGAACTCACAATTGGCATACCTCAATCCGGGGGGCGGGATAAAAGGTTGTCTTTCAATGTCCCTCTGCATGCATAGGATAGCGCTAACCAACCAGAGCAATGAATGGCTGTGGCTGAGTGAGTCCCATGCGTTTTCCCCATGGTTTTCCCTCCAGCGAAGCAAGTTGATATATTAAACTTTTGCCGTATCCGGTCGTCAAAACTCTGAACACATCATCCTTTATTAAGAATGACTTAAGTGACTTCTCTTAACTACAAGTCAGCCGAGTCGCAGCCGAAGCTGAATCGAAAGACCGCTGTTCGCCAGCACCATCTTGTTTGTTTTCAAGTATGAGGGAAATCACCTATGGAAATCACGGCGCAGAACCGTCACAACTCTGCCGTCATTGTGTTAAGCCCGCCCACCAACTCTATACACGATGTGATTGGCCGGACCAGAGTTTGGTTTTTCCACTTCGAAAGCCAATGGAGAGTTGCTAGACCACACTTTGCTGCAAAATAATTTTTGCTGCTGCTAAGGTGCGTCTAGATTTCTAGGCTAGCATATTGGTGATTTGACAAATGATCCAGTTCGTATCTGTGTTTGCGCTCTGGAAAGCATCAAAGGTTTCTATTTACAACGTGCTTTTGCGTGTTGAGCAATGTATACAGTCACTAGGAGCTTAAAGAGTTGGATCTGCAGGTTGTACAGTAAAATGCTGCAGGGATAAGGTGCCTGAGGTTGAACAGATAATACAGTAACCCCTAATCCGACCAGTGGCATTTTGTGGAGAGTGAGAAGGGAAGGAGGGAGGGAGAGAGTGAGTGAGTCCTGATATCATGATCCTGTGTTACATATGCTGAGGCAAGCGTGACATACCAAGGGCCTGCAACATAAACATTTTAACACGTCTCAAGCAGATACAAATCTGGGACAGGGACTGACATGCGGTCAGGATCCCTGGAGACGGTAGACAGTCGGCCATCTCTGGTTTCCTCACACTGGCTGATTAGGGTATATTCTACGCTGTAAGGTGACACACTGCACCATAATTCAGCAAGGGGTCACCTTTCATGGCACAATTCACATTTTTCCGGCTCTTGCGCTGCTTTGCTCTGAACACAGAGTTCCAGAGGCTTTAGCTGGCAGTTACATTACACCTCGGCTGAAAGACGGCCAGATTGAGGCCGATGAGAACGAGAGCGAAGACAAAAAGGCAGTGGGCAGTACGATCGCCCGCTCGCGCTGGGCTGCTGAATCGGCTTTCTTCCTTCCACACTTTATTTGATGATTATAAAGTTTAAAAGAGTTATTTGTAACATTATAAAAGTCTTTCCAGTCACTTTTAATCCATTTATAATCCAACTGATCCCAAACTTTTGAATGGTAGTGTATATATTTTAGCTTTATATACAGTATGGTGACCTATAGGTAACGATTAGTACGATCGTCGGCTTTTGCTGTAGTGCCGAATCAGCTGTCTTCCTTCCCCCCCTTCCCATTCTTGTCATACCTCAGGCTAGTATCAATGACAGCTTCGGCATGCCAGATGTCTTAAGGAGCCTGGATCGTTGTGTTCGACTTTCCAGACCATCCCCATTAACTTATTTACAAAGTACGTGTACGACGTGTCTGTGAACAAGCTTCCCGTCTGACGGCTCTCCGCAGTTTCAATTAGCTACTTTTAGTGCAAGACGGCCTTGTGTATGCGTTTCACACATATTGCGTTACTCCCACTGAATGTGGGTATCATCAGTCTGAATGCCCTTGACGGAAAGCGCACTCTTTCGCTGTGGTCTGGCTTCTCACTAAGGGAGGGTTTCCTTAAGACCTGGAGGGCAAGAAAACAGGCATTCCAAAAATCATCAGCATCCTCTTAATCTCTCCAAAAGCTGTGACCACCCATCCAGCGGGACAACTGGGCGTCTGGATTCACGTACTCCCTCCTGACCCTCTCAGTCAAACATTCGCATATCATTGGCTGTGACGTCACAGTCTCAACAGTCTCAGATAAGCAGTGTGTGTTAGCAAATTGGAGGCCAGTGAAGGCCAAAATCATCATCACTGCTGGAGATTATCAGCTTTACCGCATGTGATGGCTGCCTCCACCTGGTTCTGCCAGCTAACCTCAAGTCCAGAACATTAACAATTAATCTTTCATGTTCTTAAACCATGTTCAACAAGCTAATACAAAACACATAGCCTACAGTTTTGATGAGGCTAGGACACAAGAGGCCTAATGGGGTGAAACATGTTCCACTGTGAATACGAGCAACAGCTGGGGAAACCAGTGGCACTGTCCATTTCACTTTCCATGAGCAGGGTACAAAAGGCCTGAAACTTTATTTCTTTCTTTATTTAAATGGTCAGTGTATGGAGGTCCTTGAACTTCAGAAAATATTAAATGTTAACCTCAAAAGAGATTTTTTTTATGTTCTATAGGTTTTCCCATATTTGAAACACTGTTGTAATCCAATTTTTCAATTTTCCAAAAGTCATTTGCTTCATAAAAATTAACATAAAAATGTGGGACATTTCTGGTGAAATTGTAATTAGTTAATATTCTATAGAATATGGCCCTACACCCACCCTTTTTTGGCTAATTTCACCCGGACGCAGTTATCGTTTTAACATCCTGTGCCATGTTGTTTAAATAGCAAATGTGTTTGTGTTGAATTTCCATCTTTTTGTGTTTTCAACGTTATACGTTAAGGGGTGCTGTTAAGGCATGATCATGATCATCAACATTAAACAGCCTATAAGTCAAAACCGCCTAATGAATGAAATGTCGACCCAGGATGGTCTATAGGATTGTGCAGCTCTGGGGATGTTGATGGACTTGATCTACTCCATCTATGTTTTGATCATCGTTCTGAAACCCATTCAGATGTAGAACGACAAAAAAAAAAAAAAAAAAAAAAAAAAAAAAAAAAGATTTTCTCAGCTTTTTGCTCAAAATGTTGCCTTTTTAAATGAAACTTACCCACATTCACGTGTTAATAAAGAAATGCAGGTTTGTTTGTTTAAAAGCAGAGGGTCTGTTCTTTCTTTTGATATAATGCTTATTCAGATATTCATACAACAAAATATTCTTGGGCCCATGAAACTTTTGTGAAAATATGAGGAAAGAGTTAAAATATTTTGTAGAATATATGCCCCCCTTCTTTAATTTTGACCCCTCATGATGCCTCGCCTTTAAAAAAAGAGAAAGCTGGGAAAACAGGAAGAGGCATCAAGTTATTTGGAAAAAGCATGTAGTCAGAGGATCAGTAAACAAGTAAGGAAGTTTAGAAACATTAAACCCATTATTTTCTAAGTATCTCATGGCAGTAAATTTACTATTCAGTCCGTGAAATCCTGATTTTTTCGTACTAAATGTGTTACAGTGGTATGTGGCCCACTGGGAAACATTTCCCTCCTGGTTTAAAGACTCTGTGCAACAGACTTTGGAGCTTGGTTGGGAATTATAAGACATTCTTAAAGTGGAGTAATTTAAATGGTTTTGGGGGCTCAACAGCTGGGAGCAGCTGTTTAGAGCACCATGGACCTTAGTCAGGGTAGACGGCATATTGATTGACTTGAATGAAAATGAAGCTGTGAGGGATAGTACAGGCTGTTCAATAAGACATACTGACCTACGGCGATGGGTCAGCTGCCAAATAAAAGATACATAACTAACTGAATAATATATATATTTATTAATGCAGACAAAAAAAAAAAAATCTGCATCGGGAGGAGTTGGGAAGAATTTTGGACACATATTACAATAAAGTCTCAAAATGAACAGATAACCACTTTGTATGTTGTCTTGTCTTGTGTTTTATTGGTCAAAATGTGCCTATAAGAAGATGTAACCCTGTTTGTATTGTAATGTTGTACTCTTGTCACCTATCAACCTTCCAAAAAAAAAAAAGTCAAAAAAAAAAATCCTACGTCAGCTTCAACCTTTAAGCGCCACAAAAAAGACAAAACCTACCACATACAGTACCTCAAACATTTTGAGCTTTACAAAACCATTCAGAATGATTACGGCATGATTCTCTTTTGATAGCCACATGGATATAAACAGTGCAGACTAAATTAGTCCCCTGGGAAACTCCTGCAACGTAAAGAGCTTAAAAACAAAATGATCCTCCTTCACCGAATGAACAATGAAAGGTATATTAAAAATCTGCCGCCAGTCCTCCATCACGCAGTGAGCAGATGCAGGCAAAATTATATTCGGGGACTGTTTTACCATTACTTTCAAATGGTGATGACAGCCATAAGCCAGCGTGTTTTACATAGAGACATCTTCACTGTCTCAGGGTCTTCATATCAGCCAAATTCCAAAGCGAGTAAGAGACTGCTGTCTTCATCTGGGCTTCCTAAACACATTAAGCATTTATGAAACTTGAGGTAACAAAGTTTCCCTCCTAAAATGAGATTTCATTACCAACTGAATGACTCTTTAATGACAGAGAAACAAAAACAAAAGAGCAATATAGATAAAGTGAGAAATAATGAACGATAAACGCTTCCGTCGTCCATCACCAAAGAGAAAAGAGGGGGAAAAAAAAAACAGAAGGTGCCAGCTGCTCGTTCCTCAAACCTTCATCCTGGAACATCAACTGCGGTGTTTGATTGGTGAATGTTGTCTAGAGAACGTCTGTTATCTAGTTTTTTGGCGTTTTCACTGAGGACTGTCATGTTTTGCTGCCTGTTAAGCTTCTCGCTTGAGGAGTTTGTAGCTGACACTCATTTTTTGACACGTAAACACTCAAACCAGAGTATCCTAGCTATCCTGAACAGGAGCAGCCGTAAAATAACAGCCATGTTATGGAGATTACATCATAGCTCCTATAGTGCACCTGGCTGCAGAAGTAACACCGTGGACCATCTGAAGGTCATGCTGTTTATTCAGCTGCCCTCGGGAATCACGCACCTTACAGACACATACACAAACACACGGCCTTACTGACCCCTGGCCGTCATATAACACTGGGTTGGCTCCCACGGAGAAGACATGTCCTGGAAGGATTATTTGGTTAGAATTCTAACCTTAAATTAGGAGTGGAGAAACCAAACACAACATTCAGCTCTCATAACAAACTTGGTTAACAAGATAGGTGTCTATCCATCAGAAATGTTATTGTACGGCCTAGAATGTAAATTAGGAATGATTAAAAACGGATTATTTTGCCACATCCAATTGAACTTCAACCTTAAATCGACTGCTTCAATATCTGCAGTAACTGAAGATTCACATCACAGATGGCTTTGACAAAAGGGAAGTGAAAATGAGCAACTCTTTTACTCTTTCTCTTTTACAACACTCAGCCTTGAGAGTGTGAAATGAATAGGCGTCTGTGTGCATGTGGGAGAACTGTATGAAAGGTGTGTGACGGGTGCTACATGTCTTCAAAGATGAGTCAGGCGGTTAAGTGGTCTCATTCTCGTGAAGTTTGAAATAGATCCGTGGATTTTGCAGATCCTGCATCTCAGGCTGAGAATGCCCAAGCATGAATAATACCTCTCTGAAACCGTGCCAAATGCCCAGCTATTCCAAAACCTCGAAGCGAATTCGGAGCGCAGAATGAGTAATGATTGAGCGCATTTGCCGTAGCAAGTGAAACCATCAAAAAATTTCCGCCAGCTTCATTTAATCATTAGCCTAATATTCTCCATCTGCTACCTGCCCAGTGTGGTAATGGACGCCGGAGTTGAACGGTGCTAAATGAGGTTCGCTCTGTTGAAGTCACGCTTTGCGTGCTTGTCCTGCTATTGGCCGGGACACGGTCTGGGCAGAAGCTTGCAGTTTGCAGCTTATTGGACACCTATGTGCTCACCTGTGGGAGACTTCGAACAGCAATCAGCCATCATGTCTTTTTGATGCCAACGACAATTTACAAACCTGACGCGCCTCGCAGGAGGAAGAAAATTTCATGAATTTCAGAAGGAGACTAGAGAAGGAAAGAAAAGGCAGGGGGAAAAGTGAGAAATCGGACGACAGGGTGAGAAGGTCCAGCCTAGCACAGATGGTGGGTGTTGGTTGCCAGGGCAACATTGAACAGGCAGAACAATGAAAATATGGCATTATTTTCAGAGCTCTCATCAAATGTAACCTTCTTCCCTCATCATGAGCTCTTTTCTGGCATTTGCAGCATTGAAACTGACAGCTCGCTGGCTAATATAACAGATACGAGAACGATTTACTGACATTTGTACAAACTGCTTCAACAGAGTCTTTTAAGCTTTCCTACGGATTGACAACAGCCGATTTTGCACTCGTTTAGACCGCAAACACACTAAGATGTCTTCTAACAGAGAATTGTACCAGACCATTGTAACCAGTCTAAAGAGGTCTGGAAAGGCTGACCATCAGAAAAGCCATTTAGCTGGGTGTTTCTTCGTTTTTTAAGAAAGGAATTGGTTAGTCTTAAAGCGAAAAATAGGATGAGGAAGAATGAGTGATTGCGATTGATTTGTCCTCTACAGAACAGCTCCAAAAATGTACCTCTTGACCAGAGTTCATCGAGATGGGCCACCATCTGTGCATTCATCACCCAATTATCACTAAAACGGTCCAATGAAAGCCCTAACACAATGAAACACAACTTTGACTTGCCAAGTTAATCCAATAATCTGGAAGCAGGTGGTGAATGGACCTTCTGATTGGCTGATCTCGAGCTGAGCACACTGGGTAATTAGTGGGCGTATCAATGAACTAATGGTTATAATTAGACACACACGGAGGAGCTGCACACTCTGGTGACCAGGCCAACCTTCAGCTGACTGCGAAAACCAGTGACATCGGCGTGGGCCGGGCACAGATTTAAAACTCTTCCAGTTCGGGATGGCGTAATAATGAAAGCGAGGGTCTGCCGCTGGCGTTTTTGGCCCGGGTTTGGCCCCTTCTTTGCGTCAGCACAAAAAAACACATAATACCCTAATGAATCTAGGGACTAACAGAGGTGAGGAGCGTTATTTAAAAAGGAAATGGCTTTGAAAGTAGACCCCGGGGGGGTTGATACTAAAATCTGTTGCGATAAGCCATTTCGGAGGAGTGAAATCTTAGTTCACCCATGTAATGATGCTGCAGGGAAAATGATAAATACTTTATAAGTGTTTTAGCATTTTATTTCCATTCAATGAGTGCTATTAAAGTGCCACGCCAACACTTTTAAAAGTTCATCACTTGCAAGTTTTACATTTCTTAATGTGTCTCATTTGTTATCATCAGGTATCTGTATATAGTCTTCTGCAATCATGTGATGACAGATCCACACTTACATGTGCCAAACTCATAAACCATGACCCTTACACTAACACAAGCGCTGTTTACACAGACCAGAGAGGGCAAACAGGCTGTGGACTTTACGAGCCAACATTCACGCCTGTGCGCTTGCCTGTTTGTTTGCGCTGGCCGCCGTGGTTGGTCGGAATCTGCAAACATGGAAAGACGCGATTGAGGCCGATAGAAACAGCGGAGGAGAGAAAGACAGACAGAAAGAGGCAGCCGTAACTTTAGACGGCTCCTGAAATGTGCTCTGTGATCAGGTTACAGAGCTGCGACCGCATGGCCGTCTCCCCGGAGAGGATCAGGTGAATTCCCAGGATAGGAGGGCCTCAGAAGGCAGACACTCCAGATTTAATTATATGCATTAAAGAGGATTATTCAGCTCTGCATGAGAGAGACAGATGACTACCTGCTCTCCCCCTCTCTTTCTTCACGCCTTCTACTTTTCTAGCTTTCCTTCTCTCTCCGTTTGGTCACGAAGGATGCGGGATTAATGAGTTGATGTTCTTACCTGGGCAGGGAAGCGTACTGTCGCTCGGCATCCTCATATCGTGGTGTCAGCCTGGGGTCAGGGTTTCTCACTGGCATCTGGTAAAGGCCAAGAAGAGAGCAGAGTGAAAAAAGAGACGAGGATGTTTACATGACACATCATATTATATTAGACTGCAATACAGATACTGCGGTATACACATGGGGGTGTGGTGGTGTCAACAGGGCAGTATACAGTATACACAAAGCATGTTGTGAGCAATTTTGGCTACTCCTGACAATCAAATCAATAAAAAACACAAAAGTAGCTGTAAATAATGCTCAAGATATCACAACACTGGAATGCATTTTATAGTTGACCATGATTTACTGTACATGTTACATTGAACATTGCGCTACTCTTGATCTTCATACATTTTAACTTCTATAACTTAAATACTATTTACATGAGGAAATTATACTGTTTCGGTAAGATTTTTTTTCCACACCAAGGTTGTATTTATTTAACAAATAATACAGTAAAAACAGCAATATTGTGAAATATAATTACAATTTAATATGAAAGTTTATGTTTTTTTTGTTTTATTTTCATCATTTATATAATGTTGTATTTTATTGTATTATAATATATTTTATATTAATAACAAAGTATAAACAAAGTAACTGATAACAAAGCTGAATTTCAGCATCTTTACTCCAATCTTCAGTGTCACATGATCCTTCACAAATCATTTTTATGCTGATTTGCTTCAAGAATCATTTATTAATAGTATTATTAATAGTTAACACAGTAGCTGATTAATTTTTTTGTGTAAACTGTGATGCATTTTTATTCAGGATTCTTTGACGCATAGAAAATCATTTTTTTGAAATCGAAAAGTATAATTATTTGTCTTTACTGTCACTCAGTTCAAACCATCCTTGGTAAATAAAACAAATTACTTAAAATTTTACTTAATTAGTTTAAAATCTGTAAAGATACTGTCCAAAATAATTTATCATTTTCCTTATCTATCTTAAGGTACTTACAATCAGAAATACAGTATATTTACACATACAATCATCAAATTAATGTAAATGAAACAAACTAAATATAACAATTTAATTATTATTTAATACAATATCTTGTTTCATTGTTTAAGGTCACTATTGTGCCTGAAGAAGAACTAAGCCAACAATTAGACAGATATAACAGCATGTAATAAAACACGTCAAATGTTTGATTCTAACTGAACTGATAAACAACAATGTATATATATATATATATATATATATATATATATATATGAAGAGTTCAGATGCAAAAGCCTCTAAGTGACATTTGAAATTTTCTTCTAGAATGATCATTTTTATCAAGCTCGTATATTTAAGTTCAGTAATTTCACTTAAATGGCAATGAAGATTACCTATGAATTGTCATTTAACTGAAATTACTGAACTTAAATATACGAGCTTGATAAAAAATGATCATTCTAGAAGAAAATTTCAAATGGCACTTAGAGGCTTTTGCATCTGAACTCTTCATATATATATGGACAATTGTATCCCCACATTTAAAATACCTCTGCCATGTTCATTTCTTGACACTCCACCTAAGCAGACACCAATATCTGTCATGTCACATTACTGTAGAGTTCGTTGTAAAGCATGAATTATCATGCGAGCGATTCATTCAAAGCCACATTCTAGACCAGCACTGGCCCTGTCACTCTCTCTGCATTCATCACAGAGTCACCTTCCCCCTGAAATACCTGCTGTGCCCTGTAATCAAGCCATGAAAGGCAGTGTGATTTGGTCACAAAGGCTGCTTATTGGGGGATTTAGTACTGGGAGTCTTGGGGAGGGGGTAAAAAGCCAGATCCCAGATTAAGTTTCTGAAAACAGGATGAAGTCTAGCAGTCCTCCAACCCTCCTGGACTAAGCCTGACTCAAGCTCAAGGAAGACCCAGATTAACTGTGCGCATTACATTAGCAAGATGAGCAATCTCTTAAAAGACCGCCTAAACCTCCTCTCATTCAGCATGCAGATTTAGGAGTATCTCCTGTTTCCTTCCTCTAAAGACCGACGCTTTCAACGGGATTTCGTTTGCAATCATGCTGCTTAGAGTCTGTATAAAACATTTAGAAGCAGCATCTCCCTTACAGCGCGACTTTACCCGAAAAAGCAGAAAGATGACAGAGGATAGGGACTGTGAGAATTGTACCCTGACACATATAGGCAATTTAATAAATTATAAATACTGTCATATAATCCATGAGGAAATTATTCCAGTAGATTTAGCAGGGCCTGACAGATGAAGGTTGGGGCCATTATGGAAAACTGGCTGCTTTTCCGAGGGCAATATGTGTGAAATTGTGTCATCTGTCTCAATGAGCTGATTTTAAATACACAGCTCGCCGTGCCACCACCTCTCTCTCCACCGTCCTCATAACGGCTGCCCTCCTGCCTGCATATTAGCCACATTTTTTCTCTCAGCCCCGGAAAAACCGGAATGTCTTCAGGGCTTCAATATATATGATGAAAGGACAGGCACACATTACCTGGAAAGAAAGGATAGTTGATTGAGGGGCCAGAATGGAAGTGCTTCTGAATGAAAGAGGAAATGATCTCAGTTTCAAACAGACTCGCTCTATCTTTGCCTCTCCTTCACGCACGCAATGAACTCCATGAGCAACCGAAGTGGGCGTCTTTGAATGCTGATGATGGTGAAGATTACCATCATGTCCCTGGAGAGTTAAAGAGGATAACTTATCTCCAAATGGAGCAGATACCACTATTTGACACAGTAGAAATACAGACCTTGGTGTTTAAAGTTCAACATTTTAAGAATCCTTCCCCACCAGGCATCAATATCTGATTGGATCTGTTCTACTGTAATGATGGCAGTGATTTGCTTCATTATTTGGCTGTGCCCTCACATTCACACCATGTTGTTAATTGTGTCCACACTCTGCCCTCTCACCATCTGTGCCTTCAACTCTGACAGAAGTTGCCAATCCATGCTGACCGAAAACCAGCCAATCAGGAAAAAAATGGACAAACTGAGGAGCATAAAACAAACACACCATAACCCTAAAGCTGGTGACAGTGCATACAATGATAAAAACACCTTTTCAGTGACCTAGCCTGTGGCCAGAAAGGAGACGAAGAGATCAATGACGACTTCCCTCATTTAAGGGCTGATCAGATACAGAAGTGGTGTGGCACAGCAGTTAAGGCTGGTAACTGGAAGGTTGCTGATTCGATTGGAGCAAGAAGTGAGTCATCAATTCTGTGCCCAAGGAGGTCTATAACACCTGGAGAGAGATTTCTGTTAGCATTCTCATTCTTGAAAACACATGATTTCAAATCTGCCATCTTTCCTCATGGCCACAGTCGTATTTGAGCCAATCTCCTGAGCTGCAAAAGTCATGTGACTAATCAATCTAGAGGCCTGGAAAATGTACACCAATACAGCACTTATGGCTGAAGGAATGTATGAGTTTATCTCTACTGCTGAACACAAACAATGACGTTTTCAAGAATATGGGAAATCAAACAGTTGATGGACCCCATTAATTTCATAGCATGAAAAAAAAAATACTAATGGGGCCCATCAACGGTTTGGTTACACACATTCTTCAAAATATCTTCTTGTGTTCAGCAGAAGAAAGAAACTCATACAGGGTTGCAACAAGTTGCAACAAACAACTATTCATTTACTTCTCTCTCTGCCTCAGGTTACTAGCTTAATAGCGTAAGCTTCTGTTATTGTACGTCACACGCACACACACATCACCAGCGTCGGCCAATAGTGAGCCTACGTGTGACGTATCTACGCTATCACACTACGTTAACCGACTCGAGGCCCATAGAGAAGGAAGAATAGTTGAAATAAAGTCGTTATTTTTGTTTGTTTTCACGCACAAAAAGTATTCTCGTCGCTTGATAAAGTTAAGATTGAGCCACTGAAGTCACTTGGACTATTTTAACGATGTTTTTAATAACTTTTCGAGACCGGCAAGTTTCAATTCCTCAAGAAGCCTATGGACTAGTATGCAGGAGTGACCCAGCTCTCAGATTTCATCAAAAATATCTTAATTTGTGTTCCGAAGATGAACGAAGGTCTTACGGGGTTGGAATTGGAAAACTGGAAAAATTTTTGGGTGAACTAACCCTTTAATATTCACTGAAGTCATTGTAAACGTTTGAGGTTATTGTAAGGTTTCAACGCATTCTCACCCCAAGGCGTCACCTTTGACCATGCTTCAATATTTGGCGTTTTAGGCACTTACATGACGCGATCCTACGGCGTCATCTAACTGACGCTAAAGGAAAGCGCCAGTTAGAGGACGCGGTTAGGTTTAGGTGTGGGGTGGGGGTAGGGTACACGCGATCCTAGGGCGTCATCTAACTGACGCTAAAGGGCGCCTAAAGCGTCAGATATTGAAGCATGTCCAAATGCTTCCCAAGGCGTCAGCTAAGTGACGCCTTGGGGGTGAGAATGGGCTGAAGGTTTTGGATAGTAATGACTCAAGCGTTACTACATTCTTCTATAATTAATTCTGTATTCTAGAGTGAAGATCACGGAAACCCACTAGAAATGACTCAACTTACAACTTACGATCTTGTCTTTGCCGTGCATCCATTCCAAACAGTCATACACATATACAGATATAACAGTTGATTTTAACAGAGCTTAGTGTTATGTTGCTAAACTGCTGGAATTGCACACTACACACAAATTAGATTAGAGCAAGATTAAATTAGATTATTGCTAGTTTTTTGATGCTTTTTAGAACTGAATTAAGTATATCTATTATCAACATTTCTCTTGACTTTGTGCGCCATTTTGGATTTTAATTCAGCTAGTAAACTCGTTTGGTATCCATCACCACAGCAAAAAACAAACAATTTCTTTTTTGTTAAACAAAAAACAGCAACAAACGGGTTAAACAAATTTTCACTTATCTGTGAAAACCCCTTCTGACATATGAATATGAGTAGGTATGTATGACTAAGTTAATTGTGATCGATGTGTGTGTGTAGGCACAGAAGCCAGTGTTTGTGTGTGGTGTGTGTGTGTGTGTGTTTGCTCAGGGGGCACCGCAGGTCTTTC